TAACCTGACAACCACCTTTCCTTTCGCAGGGCGAACGCGATAATTATCTTTACGATCGTCCGCTGTTCTTCCTTGGTATCGGTTTATATCTTCTGTCCCTGCGGACCCTAATTCCTTATAGTCCTAGTTCCCGTGTGGGCTTTCTGGGTTTGTAGTCTTAGCTTTCTTACGGCCTTGTCTGGCACGTGTCTGTTGGTGCCTTACGGGACGCGGGCCCTTGTAGTTACTAAGCCCTTATGGTCTCTAGGCCCGTATAGGCCTTCTTCCCATAAGGTCTTTCCTACCCTGCGGGTTAATTTCCCTTATGGTCTATAACATACGGAACCTAGCGGATACGCACCCGTATAATCAACTACGTATACTACAGGCTCGGCTACAGCTCTTACGCGATATATAATAAGACCTTCTACTAAACTAGTTAAGGCAACTAGAGAAGCCGCTAACTAATTAGAATATCGATAGATAGCTTACCTAATAGGAAGAGACTATCCTTAAAGCTCGAGCAGTCGACCTACCTAACGTTAGTAGTAAACAAGGCCTTAGGTCATTCCTCAGACCTCTCCTCTAGCATAACTCGTAGTACGCGGCTCCAATCTATTAAAGGCTTATTAATAAAGGGTCTCCCTACAACAAGGATATAATAGACCTCATCTCTAAGTATCGTAGATACATACAGCAGCTACGAGCAGTTACTAACCCTAAGACAACTCGGTCTACCTTCGCCGCCTTATTAAAGGGATAATAGCAGTCTAATAAACCACCACCTTACCTATACGGCTACAACTACTAGTATACTTAGTATTACTACCTAAACACTAAAGCTCGCCCTACCGGTTAGAAACTAAATAAGAAAGTTTAGAAGCAAGTCTAGAAGGCGCTTAGCAATCCAACAACAAAGGATAATATAGAAAGGGCTATCGCTAGATCGAAGAGTATAAACAAGCACAGATCGCAAGAAACCTCAACGGGCGAAAAAGATAAGAACGATAGCAGAACAGTAACCTCCTTTATAGCCGCTATTATCGCAACATCTTTTACAGCCCAAGGACTAACGCGACCTACTACTCTTAACCTCTTATAGATTACGGACACAGGCACTACCTATCACGTCTATAACAGATTTATAAGTAAGCGTTTTACCAAAACACGCAGTACAGGCCTAGAGGATTTTATTCTCAGCAGGAATAGCGTCGTTCCGGTAGAATCATTTAGCACTATTACTATAGAGGCAAGTAGGAACAACAAGCGTAAGCCTATTATTTTAAGGGAAGTAGCATATATCCCTTCCTTTATAGGCAACCTTATCTTAATTAGTAAGGCAAACGAGAAAGATATCTACATAGATACTAGACGAATATACCTCTATAATAAGAGGGACAATAGTATTATCTATAACCTCACCTTCGCAGAGGGACATTTCTTCGCGGAATACTATTCTACCAACACTACCTCGGCTCTAATTACTACTACCTTAACTACCCGCAACCTCCCTATAGAGTAGTAGCACTCTATCTTCGTATATATAGGCTCGAATACTATTCAAGCTTTACCTAACGCCGTATCTAGTATAAGTCTAAGTAGTAAGAACCTACCTATCTACTACGATATCTACGCTAAAACTAAGGCTCATTAACAAATCTCCTAAACTACTAGTAATCACGAGGAAATATCCTTAGCTCTATTCTTTCGGGTCTCTCTAGACCTTATCTAAATAACTCCAGCTTTCAACTATTACGAGTAGATAACGCACCTTAATTACGTATCTACTAAATACGTCCTCGCTAAAACTTATATTACTAAATCCGACTATAATATAATCGTCCTAGCAAAGCTTAACTAGATTCTAATTCGCTTTCACTAAACAACAGCCTTTCTTCACTCTAATAGAGAGCGTTCTTTTACGCAAGAACTAAAGCAGGAGATTCACCGAAGAGGAATTACGTAGGAGACTTCGTCACTATATACTCCTACTTAAAATAGATACGCCGAACGCTCCGGCTACTCTCTTATCCTTAAGGTAAGAGCACTTCGTATTAGAGCTAACCTTCCTAAACGTCTATAGCTAGAAACTATAAAGGCTATAGTATATATCTATAATCGGACGCCAATCCAACGTCTTAATTAGAAGACTCCTTTCGAACTAGTTTATAGAAAGAAACCTACTACTAACTACTTACGAGTATATAGCTACAAGGCCTACGTACTCGATAAGATAATACCGAAGAAGAAGAAGCTAAGAGCTAGAGTTCTTATTAGCTATTTAGTTAGATATAATTCTACTAATATCTTCTACATCTAGTACCCGCTAGGGGACCGCATCCTACGAGTCCGAGATATTACTTTTAATAAATTAACCCGCTATTCACTAGAAGATAAGGAAGAAGCATATAAGGTTCTAGAGGTAGAAGAGGAAGACGAACTATTAGAAGTAGTCCTAAGGA